AGATAATTATTTGCTTTACTTCTTTTTTTATTGTTCTATGGTTTAAGAAAAATAAGTTTAAGAACTTATTTCTAAATAGTAATAATCTATATACATATATAACATATAATAATTGAACTGTAATTGTATTTTACAAAATACTAATCTACTAAAACACAGCCAAGACAGGTCATTTTGTAAAGACTAAAGGTCAGTTTTATAATACTGGATAAGGTAACATGAGAGCACATGTGCCTCATCATTGTAACTTCTGTATTGTTAGCCAGGCATGGCTGAAAGGTCAATATAATAAAAATAATAAATATATATAAATGTATATGTTATGAGATTTAAGCTATTTAATCTAAACATTTATGTTTTTATGTTATAATTTGTTGTCATTCTAGAATAAAAGAGACATAATTTATGTTTACTTCCTAATTTTTTATGGTGGTTACAAGATCGGTCAAATCTACCAAACCCGTACAGAGATTCATTAGTGAAAATAACAGAAAAAATATAGTTTTTTTTCTAAGGCATGAGAAAAACATTGCTTAACAAATCTTACGACTAAATAAAAAAAAATTTATATTTTGCGTATGAAAGCATTGTAATGTTTACTGTTAACCTGCCAAAAATCTGTATCAACTGACTTACAGCTGTCAGAGTACTGAACAGCAGTAGAAGGTACAGATTACTGATAAAAGATCTATTGGGACTAGATTTGGGCAATTAACTTGATTAATAAATATAACAGAATACCTACAAGGATCAATTATATTGATTAGTGCAAGACAAAACAAATCATTAATCGAAACTAAAATTAAATCCATTAATGTCATGAAAATAATCAATTAATGGAAGTTAGTGATTTCAATTTTTACTATTTTCTATTATTCCAACTATCACGCGAGAATAAAAGATTAGTTAAAGTACGTGAGTAATGGGCCCAGAGATTAATCAAATCCCATTAATCATCCACCCCTAACCGAGACTGTCCTGGTCAAACACGGACATCTGCAAGTCTTTCCATTCTAAACACACACACACAATTGTTTATATTAAATACAAACTTTTTCAATCTTTTAATTTACCATGAAACAGCAAGTGATTCTAAGAACTTAAAGAGTATAATAAGCAGCATCTCCCATATCCAGTGCTGATGAGGCCTTTCACCCAATACCAGAACTCATTAGGCCAACTGAGATACAACAAACATAGTTGTGGTCCAGGATATATTTGTGTATGTGTTATCAACTTTCATGAACAACAAATGTTAGGGTGTGAGTTGTAGTTATTATTAGTTTTATTTAAGACATTTTTTGTAAATCTAAATTGTGAAATCAACATTACATTTTGTGTCAACTATTCTATACAGGTAATAGAATATGTATTATTTTAAATTCTCACAGTGTAAGAAGGCTTGTTAGGGATTCTCTGCCATGTTGCCTTCCCAGGAACAACTCGATATACTGGGGCCATCCCCTGGCTGAAAAGCTTGCTCTGCCTATTTAGATTCATTACATTAATACAAACAGTGATTCCTGGTGGTCCTCCCTGAACTCCAAAGTAAAACCAAGTCCTAAAAAGAATAAAAATATCAGAACCCATATTAGGAATGTATAAGTAGTTTGTACATGCATATAAACCAATTAGGTGAGATACACTATTTTGGTCTTTTCAAGACATATAGGAAACAGCAAGATGACATTAACAATTCAGTGTTGGACACTCACTTCTACAGATATCTAGCTTGGAAATTATAACAGAAACAGCAAGATGACATTAACTATTCAGTGTTGGACACTCACTTCTACAGATATCCAGCTTGGATAATACAACAGAAACAGCAAGATGACATTAACAATTCAGTGTTGGACACTCACTTCTACAGATATCCAGCTTGGATATTACGACAGAAACAGCAAGATGACATTAACAATTTAGTGTTAGACACTCACTTCTACAGATATCCAGCTTGGATATTACAACAGAAACAGCAAGATGACATTAACAATTCAGTGTTGGACACTCATTTCTACAGATATCCAGCTTGGATATTACAACAGAAACAGCAAGATGACATTAACAATTCAGTGTTGGACACTCACTTCTATGGAAACCCAGGCTTTAAAAATTATATAACAACAAGCAAGGTGACAATGAACTATTCAGGTCATTGAAATTAAACATTCACCAATGAAAACATGTAATTGAAATTCATTCTCTTACACCCTCATGTACCTAATGTATCCAACAAACTAATAGCATTGTGGGAAGACTGTTGAATATATTTAACTAATAGTACCCAGAATATCATTTCAGCAGATTATAATACTAGCAAAGGAGTCAAGATTTTAGCCTGAAAATCTTGTATCGTTAATCCTAATAATCAAGTTTCATTTCCAAACTTAAAATGTAACATTTAACACTGACACACTGCCCTTATAGAGAAACATGAATAAATGTACAGAGCTAAATAAAGATTGAACATGTATGGATACCATCTGTGAAGACAAATCATTACTTTTTATACTACATGTACATGATCAACATTTGTTGAAATAATATTTAATATACTGTTTCGTAGAATAAAGATATCATGTTTGGAATTATGACAGCTATTTCATTTAAACTACACTGTACTACCATGTTTCATGTGTGATAAAAATGACACAAGACTGTAGCTACTGTTTGTGATAAGAGAGAACGTCATATATAAGCAGCCACTGTTTCTTGAGTTTGGATGTTCTTATCTGAATATTACAGAATTAAAACTCTATTTTTGTGAGCCTATTAACTAAAATCTTGAAGAAAATCACAAGCTGAAACAGGGACACTGAGAAAATAAATATCTTAAAAATAGAAAACGAAATAGGAAAGAGTTAACAAGTTAATTTATCCAACATATTTAAAACATCAATATAACTGTTTTGTGAATACCTAAGTATCAACAAAATGTTATCTGTATACCATTTTTCTAATCAATTCTACTAAAAATAAAAAAGAAGTTATATTTACAATTAAACATATCGGATTTTTCACTCGTATATTAATGTTACTACTTTTGGCATTTTATACAAATTTCTCGATTTTCGAGGATTTGGGTCACTTTAATTCTCATGTTACTTTTTTCTAGAATTGATATGAATAATGTAGATATTAATCCCTTGGTGTTAAGTAGAAAGGTTGAAATATTAAAAGTACTTGGGCCTGACAAGGATTTTAAAGAAGGTCAAATAACAGATATGCAAGACTATCTCTCAATTTTGGTAGATCAATAGACAGTGGACAGGTGTCTGAGGGTTGGAGAGTTGCCATGTTTTAAAAAAAAGGGAGATAATCTGCAGCAGGAAAACTTTATATCATAAAGTGCAATATGAAAGCCAACATAGGTTCCTCGAAACAGTCTTACCTCACTAATCTTCTAGTGGATGATGGAGAGGGAGTGGACTTCATGTTACTTGTTACATGGATGAGGGAGTGGACTTCATGTTACTTGTTACATGGATGAGGGAGTGGACTTCATGTTACTTGTTACATGGATGAGGGAGTGGACTTCATGTTACTTGTTACATGGATGAGGGAGTGGACTTCATGTTACTTGTTACATGGATGAGGGAGTGGACTTCATGTTACTTGTTACATGGATGAGGGAGTGGACTTCATGTTACTTGTTACATGGATGAGGGAGTGGACTTCATGTTACTTGTTACATGGATGAGGG